AATACACTATGAGGATTGTGTTTATCTCCTCATTTATGAGCATATGAGCGGTGGTGACATCGGAGGAGAGTGTTTTCCGTTTACCTACTGGTCTGGAGGAATTTTGTCCCTGTTCATGTGATGCCAATCTATCTAAAGAGTCCCTGTATTGGAGGAATCTGAGGTGATCTACAGTACGTTTTGTGGCCCTGTAGGGTCATAGAGTGGAGGTGAGAGGCCATTGCAGCAAGACTGCCCGGGATCACGTTTTAAGTGTGCTGTGATTCACCTGCACCCCTGTAGATTTATGAACTATGGACACTTTATCCTGCACTTAACCACTGTTATTAGCCTATTAAGGGCCACTGTTTTCTGCTTATCCCTAGGTGGATTTGGGTCATGTAAATACCTATATATACTATCTGGTTATGTACTCTATTTAGGTATTAGTTTTTTGTTTTTTTAGCGCTGCATCAACTTTTATATTTTAGTTCTGGTGCTATAATTATTGCTCTCGCTATAACGGTCACGATGATACCTCACGTGTGGTGCGAACACCGTTTATGTATGCATGTGCAATATATGTATGAGTTCGCCTTTGTGCATGAACACGGGTGGACAGGGGAGCTTTAAAAAAAATATTTTTAGTACTATTTACTTCATTAATTTGTTTTTTCACTGTCCCTTTAATTTTTTTAAATCAATTTTATTGTTATCGCAAGGCATGTAAACATCTTTTGTGATAGCAATAGGCAGTGACAGGTACTCTTTAGGCTCCATGCACACTAGGCGTTTTAATAACGCTGGTAGCGTTAGCTGTGTAGTCATGTTAAAAACTCTAGTTTTCAGTGTTTTTGCATTAGCGTTTCTTTACCAATTAAAAAAAAAATTTTTGCACAAAAAAAGTCAAATATGCCAGTTTGTCGCGTTTTACAGCGTTTTTCAACGTTAAAGTGTTTTTACAGCTAAATAATTCCTCTAGAAACCCGTTAGTTCTGTATTTTTCCAGCCAAAAAAACGCTGATTACAGCCTATGTGTGCATGGACACATAGGATAACATGCTGGGGAGTTTACTGGCTGTAGAAAAAAATGCCAAAAGCCAAAAACAGCCGCTGTAAAAACATCCAGTGTGCATGAGGACTTACTGAGAGATATGGGGTCTATTAGACCAAAGATCTTTCCTCTGCTTTAGAAAGCTCAGATCGGTTTGATCCAAAGCTTTCCCTTGCCTGTAGTGGCTGCTAAACAAACAGCTGAATCAAGAAGTGACGAAATACTCGTCGTTTCCGGTTTCATATACCATTGAGATGATCGAGGAAACTCCGGTCCACGATCAGCTCTATGTTAAACCGGTAGAACGTCTGGGCTTCAGGCCGGGCTTGCCAGTGGGAAGGTACTGCCTGGAGCAGGGGCGGACTGACCATTTGGAAACTCGGGCACTGCCCGAGGACCCGGGGTCAGTAGGGGGCCCCAAGAGATGCCCTGGTACCTTTTTCATAGGCTTTTTTGAGTTTGGGCAAGGACACAGGGGCCCCATGATCCCCTATTGCCTGGGGGCCCCATGAGTTGTCAGTCCACCCCTGGCCTGGAGAGGCACTGGAGGGCACCTGTGAGGCTCTGTTTACACTGATGTGGTGCAGAATTCACAGTGATTCCTGTGATACAGTCACACTAAGTTAAGTCAATGTTAACGACACCCCAAAAAACAGGTTGCAAAATGCAGTGTGATTGCCTGAATAAAATCGCATAGGTGTGAACACCAGTGCAGCAGAAAGAGTGCCTACACCTTTTTGGTATGGATGATGTGCATTTTAAGCGATACAAAATGAATAGGCTCAAATCGCACCGCAGAGAATCGCATGTGATTTGAACAGGTATGTGGTGCAATTCCTGTATGAATCTCATGCAGTTACTGCTTTGCATCAGTGTGGCCAGAGACTGAAAGCCATCCAGTGGCTAATTAGTCGCTAGGATTACTTTTGCATAAAAGGAGATTGCTGGCTGAAAAACGTAATACCAGAATGATGCCTGGAGCTGCAAGCATCATCCTGGTATAACCACTTAAAGTGCTGACATAAATGTAAGTATTGCAGCTAGCAAGTGGAAAATCAGTACAAACAGAGAACAGAATTGTCTGGGTAACAAAGGTAATAGCAAACACTTTGTGCTACCAAGGCATGAATTAAGTTTAAAACATTTGAAATGGTTTGCTTTAAGTGATGTACAGCTGAGCCACTGGTTCTAACTAGACTCAAATATCTATCAATGGGAAGTTGTGAACATTTACTGGTAAATAGTCTCCTGTACAGCATAGATAAGGTACAACTGAATTGCCAGGCATTGTTTCTCATTTTTGTTCCTTTCCTGCACACTGCTTGTATGTTTGACTTTTGCTTCTGAAATCTTTTGTTGCAAAGGCGCCGATATAGCAAAGGATGATGGCATCTACTCCAAGTATTTCTTTACATTCCCTGTAAGTGGGAGATACAATGTGGAAGTACGGGTGGAAGGGGAAGATGGTAAATGCAGACTGACACATCCCAGAGGCCGTGCTTTCTACTTACGAGGCTTTGTGGAAAATGGTGAGACAATTTTGGCATTTAGTAAGCAAGGTGGGAAAAAAAAACAGATTCTCCATACTGAGTGTGTAGTAGAAGTGCAAAACAACATCAGGCTTCATTTATATTTGTGCTCTCTTTCTTTTTAATAAATCTTTTTTTAATATTCTACAATAAAAATATAATAGTACAAACTCCCAGGGGCCTCATCCTCGCAGGGAGGGCCCTATTGTAAAAATAAATAAAAATACAACCTTACCTTTACATAGGCTATACAATCTGGTTCATGCACAGTAAACGTGTACAGCAGGTATAACATGCAAAAGTCTCTCCAGTCTTCAATCCTATATACACTATATTGTTAAAAGTGTTGGGCCAGCCCTCCAAATCATTGGATTCAGATGTTCCAATCACCTCTCATGGCCACAGGTGTATAAAATCATCACCTAGGCATGCAGACTGCTTCTACAAACATTTGTGAAAGAATGGGTCGCTCTCAAGAGCTCAGTGACTACAAGCGTGGTACCGTGATAGGTTGTCACCTGTGCAATAAGTCCATCCGTGACATTTCCTTGCTACTAAATATTCCACGGTCAACTGTTAGTGGTATTATAACAAAGTGGTAGCAACTGGGAACAAGAGCAACTCAGCCACAAAGCGGGTAGGCCACGTAAAATGACAGAGCGGGGTCAGCGCATGCTGAAGCGCACAGTGCACAGACGTCACCAACTGTCTGCAGAGTTAATAGCTAAAGACCTCCAAACTTCATGTGGCCTTCAGATTAGCAACAACAACACTGCATAGAGAACTTCATGGAATGGGTTTCCATGGCCAAGCAGCTGCATCCAAGCCTTACATCACCAAGTGCAATGCAAAGCGTCGGATGCATGTGGTGTAAAGCACGCCGCCACTGGCCTCTAGAGCAGTGGAGGACATGTTCTCTGGAGTGACGAATCATGCTTCTCTGTCTGGCAATCCTATGGATGTTTCTGGGTTTGGCAGTTTGCCAGAAAAACAGTACTTGCCTGACTGCCAAGTGTAAAGTTTCATGGAGGGGGGATTGTGGTGTGGGCTTGTCCCCCACTAGTTCCAGTGAAGGAGAACTCTTAAGGCATCAGCATACCAAGACATTTTGGACAATTTCATGCTCCCAACTTTGTGGGGAACAGTTTGGGGATGGCCCTTCCTGTTCCAACATGACTGCACACCAGTGCACAAAACAAGGTCCATAAAGACATGAATGAGTGAGTTTGGGGTGGAGGAACTTGACTGGCCTGTACAGAGTCCTGACCTCAACCTGATATAGAACACCATTAGGATGAATTAGAGCAGAGATTGTATGTATGGATTGCTTGAGTTGTTATCGACCTGTGGTAAGGAAGTGCCCCCCCAGCCAATAGCACCTTTAGAAATATATTTACTGAGAAAAATGGCGATGTGTCCAATACTTAGTTTATCTGCTGTATGTATATATTATTTATATATATAATATATATATATATGCATATATACACATACAGTTAGGTTCATATATATTTGGACACAGGCAGAATTTTAGTTTTTTCAGCTATTTACCAAAACATATTCAAGCTATAGTTATATAATGGATATGGGCTGAAAGTGCACACTCTCAGGTTTAATTTGAGGGTATGTACATCCAATTGGAGGAAGGGTTTAGGAATTACAGCTCTTAAGAGTAGCCATCCCCCCTTTTTCAAGGGACCAAAAGTAATTGGACAAATGAATATAATCATAAATAAAATGTTCATTTGTAATATTTTGTTGAGAATCCTTTACTGACAATGACTGCCTGAAGTCTGGAACCCATGGACATTACCAAATACTGGGTTTCCTCCTTTCTGATGCTTTGCCGGGCTCTAACTGCAGCAAGTGAAATGCATGCTCACTGGGGTTGAGATCAGGTGATTGACTCGGCCATTACAGAATATTCCACTTCTTTTCCTTCAAAAGGTCCTGGGTTGCTTTTGCAGTGTGTTTTGGATCATTGTCCATGTGTACTGTGAAGTGCTGTCCAATCAACTTTGCTGCATTTGGCTGAATCTGCGTTGACAGAATATCTCTAAACACTGCAGAATTCATCCGGCTGCTTCTGTCTTCTGTCACATCATCAATAACCACCAATGACCCATAGATAGAAAACCTATAAATGGCAAAGCATAAGAACATAAATGCATGTGGCGGGGACACTACCTTACAAAAATGATTGGGCTATACAATACATATCTCCGTGAAGTTACCTTTTGTTTCATGACTAGTGTCCGGCATACCTTTTTTTGAATCTACTGAGGTTAATGTTTAATTTAATAGTTCTGTTGTAGAGATTTTTTTATTTCAGTGGAATTGGGATTCAAATAATCTCATCAAGTGTTTAATAACTGTAAGAGCTCCTAACATTTTCACCAATGAATTTGTGGTTTTCAGCATTTCATACATTCTTGTAGGTAAAGTTGTTATGAAGCCACCAGATCCTCTGGGCGATGAGGTTCTACCTGCACTGGGGGGATTCAAACTAGCCATCACCGGAGGCTCCTTCATGGTGTCTGCAGAAGTTGATGCAAGTGATGACTATCCACCAGGGAAAATTACAGACTTAGAAGCTCAGGTTAAAGGAGGCAAAGTTATCTTATCATGGACTGCAACTGGTGATGATCTGGACCAGGGAACTGGTACGTTACTTTCTTTACGGATTATTTACTAGGGAAAGTTGTGAACTCATCTTTTGTTTATGTGCTGATAGCTAATACAGCTGTAGGTGCTATGTATAGTGACTTACCTACTTAAGGCTGAACTACACTGCATCTGAGCACCACAAACAAAAAAATGCTGTTTAACTCATTTTTAATGTTCAAAGCAAACTACCCCATCCATCTAACCATGTCTCCATGCGTTATTTTGCAGAGGAAATCACTTAGAAAAACACCCCCTAGCACTTCTGGCCGTGGCCATTTTGAGTAAGGGCAGATGATTCATGTACCATTTGCTTCCTGGAATTCATCTGCCCTTAACTCAGGCATGCAGGCAAGAGGTTGTGCTTAACTGAGAAAGCCCCTCCTCCTCTCCTGAAGACTCTTGGGATGTATGACATAATTTGCCTAGGCTGGAAACCAGGAAGTACCTGAAGAAATGTTAAAATAGAAGTTTAAAACAAGTAAATATAATATACCATCCTATCTTTGTGCTAATGCTAGCAGCAAAAGCATTACAAATAGTCAGTTGACTAAGAGAGTGAAGTTCTGCTTTAACTGACATGAATATGCAGTAGTATAAGAGACACCTTTTCTTTCAGTGCTCAGGATTTGAATATCCATGAGAGAACCAGGCTTCATTTCCCATCTCCATTTTCTCTCAGAAAAGTTGGATTCTGTGTCAGATTCCAGGCTTGGTAGTATCAAGCACAGGACAGGTTCCAGTGCTGCCAGTGGGTAATGGACACAGAAATCCTTTATAGTGACATTAAACTCTGGTTAAAAAAAAATCTGTTTTCCCATTTTTTTTTTCTTTTGCTGTTATGATCTGACTTCTTGTTGGAGGGTGGCTACATTCATTCTCCATGGACCCACTATATGTAGGTACGTAGCCACCCTCTCTTGCTTGCTCCTGACATGGACTATGGGATTTGTAGTGTGCATAGAACAGCACGCAACTAACGTGCGTTGCTCATTCCAAACAAAAAAAAGTGATGGGGAAAAGGAGAAAATACAGGGCTAACAAGTAGTGGATGTGTATGGGATATATTCTGACTCAGATTGTTGTGATAGCGATTTATCCCTTGTGAGACCTCTCTGCCTAGCCTGTATAAGCAGATATAATCACTGTGGACAATCCTTATCAGATAGCTTGAACTCACCAATACTGTGTTCATCCAGAAGTTGCTTTATTCTGTACATGTGACAACAGGATACAGCAGAATGAATGGTTTCCAGTATTATGCGGTCAAAAGATGATAATTTCTGTAGCGTACTATGCAGAATACATGTGTCCCTGTTACATGTGGTCTGTTAGCTGCATCCATGACACAGGAAGTGATGTACTCAAAACGTAGGGAGGAGCTTCATATACAAAGGAACTGTGTCATAGATCTCAGGGAGGCAACATGAAGAACAAATGCATACCAAATAAGGCCACTGGATGGCAGCATTACTAACTATAGAAATGTCCATAAGAAATGGCACAAAAAATAAACTATACGAATTCTCATGAACATTAACACAAACATCAACTGTGTAACAGCATAGGTTATTTTTTGGGAACAAGGATATAATTTAGTGTCACTTTATGTATCCCCCCCCCCCCTTCCTTCCTTCCTTCCCCCAGCAAGTCCTTAAAGTCTAACATTCTCATGTCATCATTTCTGCAAGGTATTCTACGGAATTACATTTTTTTTATTTACCACGGCACTACCTGCTTGGAGTTTGCATGTTCTCACTGTGCCTGCGTGGGTTTCCTCCGGGTACTCAGGTTTTCTCCCACACTCCAAAGGCATGCTGGTAGACTAATTGGCTCCTTGTCTAAATCTAAATTGGACCTAGTATGTGTATGTATGAATGTGAGTTAGGGGCCTTAGATTGTATGCTCCTTGAGGGTTATTATTTACACACAATTTTTTCACAATTTGAATTTCAGGTCAGCAGTTATTCAAATCTAATTTACCTTAACCACTTTTCTATTAGGGTAATTTTTTAATCTTCACACATTCAAAATCTGCATTTTTTGCTGCAAATTACTTTAAAGTGTTACTAGACCCAGTACCCTGCACTCATTATGCCTGGTCTCCCACAGTACACAGAAAATGGAAATGCAGTTATTTTAGGAAATATAAACTGCTAAATACCTTTTCTCATCAGCAGTATATAGCAGTCATGTGACTCATATCAGTGTCCACTTGAGCATTGGTTAAAGCTTGCAGGAGGAGTTTTCATTCTCTTCTCACTGCCCTATGAGATTGCATGACCCCTGACCTCTGTCTGCACATTGCTGATTGGCCCTGTACTGATCACATGCACCCTCCCAAAAAAAAGAAAAAAACTCTTGAGCAGTACACACCAAACTGAGCACATGCAGTGTGCCCCTGAGGGTGTGTTCTATCAGGAGATGAAATTTGAGACCGTGGAAGAAAGGGAGGGTCAGTGAAGACAGGATCAAACAGCCTTTTTTTACACAATGCGGAGTATTAACCCCTTAAGTTCCACAGTGAGTATAACAAGCATACTTTACTGCATATACAGACTGATTTTACTGTTGTGGGTTTAGTAACACTTTAACCCCCCCAAACAATTATATATTTTCTGACAGCAGAGACCCTGTAAAATAAAATTGTGGTAGTTGCATTTTTTATGTCACACGATATCTGTGCAACTGTTTATCAAATACATATTTTCAGGGAAAAAAACACTAAAATGGATTTTAGTGCAAACAAACATAATATAATACCCATTTTTTTGTATTGTGGCATCACTTTCTGAAAGTGATTGGACAGCTCAATTTTACCTGAAAGCCAATCGCCGGCTGTAAAAATCAATACCAAGCCCATGGTTACAGCAGCAGCCATGAGCATGTTATAACCCCTTGAATACCAGGACATTTATAAACGTACCTTGGTAGACAAGGGTTAATTGTAATTTGAGTGTTTTTGCATTTCAAATTTTATTTGAATGCATTCCTTTCATTAAAGTAAAAAATGTTTAAGCATCAGAATCCTGCTTTTACTTTCCTGAACCCTCATTCGATCCATTGCTGTGCCCATCTGCAGCTCTACTCTCCTCTCCTCACTTTCCGGTCCGACAGACTTTGCTGAGACAGCAGGAGCCATTGCCAGTGACAAGGCAGTGGGGGGGGGGGGACGAGTCCCGCTGTATGTGACTATAGACACAGGCAGCAGGGCTCAGGAGCGAGCCTGCATGAATGGCCCTATGGGGGCACTCGTCAGAAAACGAGGAGCAAGGAGCCCTGGCAGGGGACCTGAGAAGAGGAGAATCTGGGCCGCTCTGTGCTATTCCATTGCACAGAGCAGGTAAGTATAAACATGTTTGATATAATAAAAAAAATAGCATTTACAATCACTTTATCAATACCATCTCTGGGCTTGGTTGGGACTATTAAAATTATAATTTTTTTCATTTTTTTTTTTTAGCTCAGAGTTATGAATTAAGAATGAACAAGAACATTAAAGATCTCAGGGACAACTTTGAAGGATCTATCATGTTGGATATTTCCAGTATTACCCCAAGCCCAGCTGGAACAAGAGAAGAATTTCAATTCAATCCAGTCCTTCATACAGAAGATGGGACAGTCCTATATTTTGCTTTAATTGCAGTTGATACAAACCTCCAGAAATCAGCCACATCTAATATAGCACAAGCTGCTTTCTTATCCCCCACAAAGCCAAGGTCCACTGCTCTGCCGGTCACTAAATGTTCTACTCCCAAACCTAATACTTGCACCACCGTGAAATTCATCCAGGACTGTAACCCAACAACCACCCCAAAACAGCCCATCACATGTCCACCTAAACCCTCCCCAAAGTGTCCCACTTCAGAACAAACAACAGACTAAGCCAACGCCAAAACGATCGTCTGTACAACACGTCCATGAGCCTTATTCCAGCCAAAATGTCATTTCTAGTTTTGACTAGAGTAGGGTAGTGTTAAAATGTTTATGTTTTTTCTTAAATACAAAGTCCAACAAGAGTACCAAACCAATAGTGAAAGAGTTCAAAAACCTTTATTTATGAATTCAAACTGAGGTGACATTAAAACAGCCAACATGTTTCAGGGACACCAACATTCCCTTCATTAGGGCTAAAACAAAAGAAAAAATAACATTTTCAATAACAAAACTGATAGTGCCTAAGATAATCACGTATGAGACATTTATAAATGATGCTAAGTAAATAAATAATTAAAAATTATTATAAAAAGTAGTCATAATAATGGGACTACTATGCCGGAACTGCAGGCAAAGCGCTTGGCTTGCAGTTGCAACGCAGTCCCATTGATTTCTATGCACAAATTTGCTATGGCTGTGAATCAAAGCATCACAGTCGCGCCATGTGTATAGTTCTCTCTGGCTGTATGCAGGGGCGGACTGACAACTCATGGGGCCCCCCGGGCAATAGGGGATCATGGGGCCCCTGTGTCCTTGCCCAAACTCAAAAAAGCCTATGAAAAAGGTACCAGGGGCATCTCATGGGGCCCTCTACTGACCCTGGGCCCACGGGCAGTGCCCGAGTTTCCAAATGGTCAGTCCGCCCCTGGCTGTATGTTATCTTTTAGGTGGGCAGTCGGCCACCCATGTAAACAAAGCCTAACTTCTTCATCCAGTGCCCTCTCAAACCTCTTGATTAAGGACAAGGATGCTGTTTCCTGCCACATTTAGGTTCTCTAGCAATCTCTTCCACTGAAAGATATGGTTGGCATATCATAAAGAATTGTATTTCACAGTTCCTGCTAGTTATTGGTTGTGATCTCTTTAAGAACT